CAGGGCTGGGTGGGAAGCAAGTGAGGCCTGAGGAGCCCAGGAGGGGACAGAGGAGAGTGCGGAGGGCACGGAGGGCAAAAAGGGAGAAATTCAAACAGATGCTGAGGTCAGAGGAGCCCAGGGCTCAAGTCACAAAGCCTGGAATCTGATTTCTCTCCCTGACTTGACTGCATTTCAGTACTCTGGGGCCTGTGGAGGTGTTTAATTCCTTTGAGCTTCCTTTTCTCAACTGAAAAGTGTGACGATGTTCTCTCAGGTGGCTATTGTGAGACTGAGTGAAATAATGCCTGTGGAAGTCTCTAGCATAGCGTCCCTCATACACTCAGTGGCTTGACTTCCTCAGTGGAATCTAGTTCAGTGACTTCCATGTTTTAGATTTTACATTAAAAAAAAAACTCTATTGGGGTGCCTGGAGGGCTTAGTGAGTTAAACATCCGACTCAAAAAAAAAAAAAAGTCCGACTCTTGGTTTCGGCTCAGGTCATGATCTCAGGGTCATAGGATGGAGCCCTGTGTCAGGCTCACCTCCAAGAGGACTCTGCTTGAGATTCTCTCCTTCTCCCCCTACACCTCCCGCCATGTGCACACTCTCTCTAAAATAAATAAATAAATAAATAAATAAATAAATAAATAAATAAATAAAAATAATAAAAACGCTATTTGCTTTAAGAGCCACATTAAGGAGAAAAAGAAATCCTTTGGGATTTATTTCATGATCACTTTGCCTACATACTGGCAAAGATTCTCTCTGTGACCAAACTCCAGCCGGCTCCCCTGAGCCCTTCTTCCCCTAGGCCTCAACCTTGGCCTGTAAAGACTTGAACACTGATGGTTTCTAACTGTTCAAGGCTGCAGACCCAGGTGGCCTGATCCCCCTTAAAATGCTCACCTGAGAAAACTCGAGCCTGCCCAAAGAACTCACGGTTTGTTCCAGTGACACTTGAAGACAGGGCCCCAGTGTCCCAGCCTCTGAGGGAGGGGAGCGGCCCAACTTGGATAAATGCCAGTTAGCCAACCAGATGAGTGTCTCGTGGACAAACACACCCTTCCTGATTGTTGTAAATTTTCACTCCCTTGACTCTACTGAGCCCCTGCTCACATCCTCCCTATCCCCTCATTCTCCCTTTAAAATGCCAGTCCCCTCTGCAAAAATCAAAACGGAGCCCACCTCTATCCCCTACAGTCAGTAGTTACTGAATAAAATGTTTTTATAGCTTTAATGTCCAGCTGTGTTTATCTTTGACAATACAGACATATGCTACATGTGTATTTTTCAAAACTTGAAACTGTGTGGGAATAATCTTTGGCTAGTTCTCTCTTTTTTTTTTTTTCAGTACTAATTATATCTAGCAAGTAATTCTACATGCTCTGATATATCTGATCTGTACCTGAATCCCAGAAGTCACTTTGTTTATAAATATTCTAAGATACAGATCTTATCATATTAGATGTATGGGTTAACCAAAATGGATGATAAAAAATTTGTTTAAGGAAAACATTCTCCACAGCATTTCAGAGTTGGCTGGGTTATTAAATCATAAGCAGAACTATCTTAATATAAAATAAACAGCCTAGAGATATTTATAAAATTAACTAAAAAATCTTAAAAAGAAATTTCTAGCATGTACAGCTTTTAATTTTCTTCCCAAAGCAGTACTATATTACAGACAATTAATCACATAATAAAGGGAACAAAGTAGAAACCAGAAGCATTTCCAGTTTCTAGAACTTTCTCTGTGTGCACTCTTCAGAGTGGTTTTCAGGTAGATAGGACCTTTATTCCAGTTAATATACTGTTTCCTTTTATAATCTCCTAAATCCAGTGGTTGAGTAAAGCATTTTTTAAATCTGGGGGTTACAACCCAAGAGTGGGAAATTAAATCAGTTTAGTAGGTAGTGACCAGAATTTTTTAAAAAATAGAATAAGATGGAACAGAATAGAACACATCAGAGTGCATCTTATTCAGTGAGTAGCCTTAGCAGTATGTTTTCTAATGCCTTTGCTTCAGTTAAACTAATGTGTAGGTCTATGTGTGTATATTGGATGATGACGTATTCTCACTGTTGACTGCAGAAAACAAATTTTAAGAAACACTGCCCAGTGCAGTGACAGTCCCGCTCATCCAATACACTAGCATTCTGCGGTTTGATCTGCCTTGTTCAGTAATCAGATCAGCTAATGTTTAGAAGCTGGTTGCTGTGTACAGCACAGTCCTGGTGCTGACATCAGGTCACCAGGGTGCTTGTGTTCTTTGGTGTTAGACAGCGAGTGAGGTCCCACGGAAAACCCAAGCCACATGTGCCGAGTTCTGGGACAAAGGAGCTATGCTGCAGAGGACTATCTTGCTAAGGTTTCCCAGTGTAAGCACAGCCTTGAATAGCACTTCTAAGAGTGTGATGTCAGCACAGATACAACAAAATGAACAAAAACATTGCCGAGGGCACTTCAGAATGTATCCCTCATGCGTCTCCTGTTGGCTTCTGGAAGGGACCATATTGTTCGAATAAACAAAACCAGAACAGTTTAATGGGTCACAGATGTGCAGCGTTCAGAACTGTCCCAGGGACCATTTCCTAAGCTGCTCTGCACGATGAGAAAGGTTTGGCAATCCATGTCCTTTTCGCCCATTAGTTACAAAACTGTTGTCTTTTCCTAACTGCTAAATGACGAGCATGACAGTAAGTTTTCATTCCTAAGAGCACATGTGTACGTAGGTTTTGATGTGACTAATGCAAAATGCCTGATGCCAAGAGCCTGGGCAACCATACAGAGTAAAGCTCTTTATAAGAGTTAGTAGATCTATACCTGGCACACAGAGGGTGGTCAACAAATGTCAGATCAGTGATTGAATGCATTAAGTCTCAAGCTTGCAGTATGACTCATGAATAAATCTCTTAAAAAAGACAGTGTTACTGCTATCAAAGTTGATGGCTGATGCAAATGGAAAATGCAAAAGGATTATTACTTGATTTTGAATTTATCTGGGTTAGATTAACCATCATTAAAATCAGCAGTAAATACTGAAAAAGGATCGGGAGTAGTTTTTTACTGGTTTTTGAGGCTTATTCTAACACTCTAACATTTTAATCTCTAATAAAGCAAAGTAAATGATGGAGATATCCTGCAGCCCTTAAAAGAATGGCAGCCATACAGTACAGCAATGTATGTGTCCTTCACAGACTAGTTCCCAAATAACAAGATACGCTGGATCTGAAAGCATTGTGAAGGAGGCTGATTTATGAGGTATCTTCTTAATTATGCAAGTTTTAGAGAGAAATCTATGTTCAGGAGTTTCACTTACTTCATGCCTAGTAAACAGCATGCTTCATATGGAAGTAGTAGATACAGGCAAAGCTTGAGAAGGGGGTTCTTTAACTATATTTCCCACAGCACTTATTTATAGGATAATGGGGCCAACCCATTTTTAATGGTCTGCTGACAACAATGGTGCCACCTGGGGGTCCGACTTGCTCAAGGATCTCAGGTTACCTTCAACTTGGACACCTAACCCAACCATGGGCCATGGGCCAGTCCTTAAATATGAAGGTTTTAGAGCGGAGGGCTTATGTTAAGGAAGACACTATCCATTAAGTACTTCTACTGTTTGGGAAGAGCACTTCACAAATTCCGGATAAGAAAGAGTCTGTAACAAGTAGGACTTCAATCAGTAAAAGAAATGTGCTTAAAAAGAAACTTGGAAGCGACAGAAGCAGAACTGTTAATAAGAACTTCATAGCTTTTAGGCCCTGAAACAGAGGACTGGAAATATGTACAGAATGCCAGGAGAGGAAGAAGTAGTATTAGCCTACATTCCTTCACCTTACAAAACTCAGTCTGTGCATTTCCTGAGTTTCAGTTGCTTTTATTTGCCAAAATAATAAGCTCACAGAAAAACTTGAAGATTTATGAATTGTTACCATGAGTTAAGCTATACTTTTTTTTTCTTAAATGTTAGAGAATATTCCTTCGTTTCATACACTTAAAACAATTGCTGGAGTGGAAATTCTATGGAAAACAGCTGAATGTTCTTACTCAGCTTGAGCCACGCCTATACCTGCCACAAACTACAATGTTGATCATGTCTCTGAGACCAGAATTTGAATCCTGCCCATGTAATTCTGTTAGAAATCTTGACAATGGCTTGCTTTTGCTGCAGGACAAAAATTTGTCTTCTGGGGTTCTCTGACCACTCACCTTCAGTCTGGAGTAATTTACCGGACTCTTTCCCTATGAGTTTATACGTATGTCCATACACCTTTAGAGATAGTACAGATGGACAAGCTAATTTCTCTTAGCTAAATTCTTTCTGTGTGCTTTTCCTTCTACAAAGAAGCACACAGTTCAACAGCATGACTCTAAGCCATTCAATTTTTTAAAAACTTCCCTAAATTATTCAATGCATTTGACTTGCAGATGTGCCACTGCTTTATATAAACACTTTGCTTTGAAACAAGGATCTAGAAGGAATGCAATCAGCTCTGCTCCGGTTGTATGTACATGAAAAGCTGTTTGAACAGTGTCACCCCAAACAGCTTTGGGTGGCTCCATTTCAAGACTCTGCATTGCTAAATGTGCGTGCAAACTAGACCCTACAAGGTGAAAAGTAAACCTCGCTCACCCTCACATTGCAAAGGCTTTTTAGGTTAATTTGCATAACTGGACATCATCTTTCTGTATTTTGATTGAATTCCGTTTGATGGCATTGCTACCGCAAGTCCAGCAAATTTCATTTTGTTTAACATTAGGCTCGAAAGGAACACACCAACAGACAAACACACAATGAAAACATGCAGTGGCGTTGTGCTTAATGCATGGGTATAAATGCACAAACAGAAGAGGCCAAGCACATCACTTAATTTAATGCGGGCACAGGTCTGTACCAAGAGTCTGAAACATTGTAAACAAGCCTTAAGCAAAGGAGGAAATGTAGAGGGGAAACAAAGCTGAGAAAAATGAGCAGGAAATGGGCAAGATGACTCATCTATACTTGAACGTCTGACCTGTCAGTTGGTCGTCGCCTGCAGCAGGGGCGATGCGAATGTAAGGTGTTGTAAGCTGAGTCACGATTATCGCAGCTATGGCAAAGGAAGATTCCCAGGTCAGCATGCATGAGGGAAGAAAAAGCCAGACTGAAGCTAGGCTAGCAAGGAGAATCTCGATCAGTATATCACATCGTCTCAACTTTGTTCCAACAACAACAAAAAGAGAAGAAAAGAAAAAAGAAAAAAACACATAGCAAAGTGTTGAATTTTTGGAATTCTTTTCCCTTAAACAGGCTTTCATCAGGCAGTTAGATTTCTAACTATGACACAGTTGCAAGCTTTGGCTGAGATTCTGGGTAGATCAACTGAAGGGAAAAAAATAAAAACAAAACATAAGTCCTAAATAAGGCTCTAGACTGAATAGTATTTCCAAATGCTACTGAGCGTAGCGTCTAAATGGTTCATTGCTAATTCTGATGATCCCAACTTTAGGCTTTTAAAATTTATTAGGTTACTTAAAATTCTGCTGCTGAAGTCACAATATTTTCTCTTCTTGCTAAAATCACCTTTGTGGAGCACATTATCTTCTTTCACTAAAAACATTTTTTAGGTAGAGGAATTTCTCTGATAACTAAATTTCATGTAGAACATTTCCATTTAGGGACCTTATTTTGTCACATTAAGGGACTGAAAAAAATGCATCTCAAAGCATCGGTTAAAGAAAGGAAAATGAGTAATTGCTTTTGCTATCATTGTCATGGTCCACATGTGACCCAAGACATGATTAAGATTCTTGAATCGGACCAGTGGGGTTTCTTGGTTTGCCTGCACAGCTCAGCAGTTGTGTTTAAGTGGTTAACATTTATGACACACAGATATTGGGGGAAATATTGAAAATTAAAACGTCAGTTCTAACATGATACAGCTGGAAAATGATGCAAAGAAAAAATATTGGAAAATTAAGGACAGGCTTACATGAAAGATTACTAATTTACATGGAACAGCCTGGATGCTATTAGAAATGTGGCAGCGAGTAAGGAAAATAGATCATCTACCATCTGCAGACAATTAAACCCAAAACTGCTGCTGCATAATATTTTGAAATACCCCTCTGCACCATTCAAACGGTGCTGCTCCTTATAACTAGACAACTGTAGCAACTGGATTCAGAAGTGGGATAATTGTCTTTCACACATTGTTAATGAAAACTTCCTAGTCTTGTTAAGTGAGATGAATAAACTACCAGTTGGGTCAGGACATGGAGGACTCCTGAGGTATTACAGAGATAATTTTCTTGATAGGATAGAGTATGCAGTTTTCCATCCTGATATAATCAATTGCAAACAGTAAAATGTAATTTCTAAGACCTGTTACAAAGTTGGTACCAAGTTTATACATATAACGATTGCTTGGGCATAGACTACTGTTGTTCAACCAACATTCCTGTGTAGTTTTCTATTACTTACAGGAAAATGTGACCTACTCTGCTTTCGAGCACAATTGTCTGATCAAAAACAGAGCATCTACCCAATACTGAAAAAGGTAAACAATATGAACAAAAAGTTACTTGAAAATGGCTATGTTGGGCAGCCATGTATTCACAACTAAAGGAAAGGCAAATTGCAATCAGAGGCTCAAAACCCCCATGGAAAAGGTACATTATAGATATCAGGAGGGGTTTTTATATGATTTCTATGTTCTGCCTTCTAAAGCGTTCATTTGTGACTATTATTTTTAGTTACCAGGAAAAAAAAAAACTAGATTCTGTTACAAATTACCTTAAAAAGGAGTCAGCTGGCCCACGTCCTACTTTTGCAAACAAAGTCTTATTGGAACACAGTCAGACTTAACTGCTTACACATCACCCACGGCTGATCTTGTACAGCAGTGGGAGAGCTGAGTAGCTGTGACAGAGACCATATAGTTCACAGAGCCTAACATATTTACCCTCTGCCCTTTGCCTAAAAATTTGCTGCCCCCATCTTAAAATATCAATAAAAATGCATTACAAAACAGAACACTGCTAAATTTGGTAAGGTAAAGTCAGAAATCCCAATCCTCTGCTTTGAAGACAGTATCTGATAGTAGGTGATAAATTTAGGGTCTCTTTTAGGCCCAAAGGTATGAATGGAAGAGCAAAAAGTGGATCAGACTTGCAAAGTATCATCTCAGTTGCATGTGGTGGGGTCTTCTGGGATGTGAGGAACCAGTATTTACCAAACTCTTTGGCATGACTTTCGTGATTCTTGGAAAATGAGTTTGGATCAAATAATTTGGGAAACATAGGGTTGGACAAAGTTAAACAGGTTTTCTTTTCCTTAGTAACTTCTCAGGGGCCTGGATTGTACTCATGATGCACATTGGGAAGACTATTTCAGATCAATCAAAGAAAATATTTTCTCTACAAAATGCTGAATGACAAATGTAGATCATATCTATATTTCTATTTCTAAATCCATAGCTAAATGATAGCAGATTAGCATAGATGAGTGGTCTTACTATATAATTTGTTTTCTCCTGTATTGAATATGAGTAATTAAAAGGAATCTTAATTAGCTTTGCATGTCAACATTCCTTTCAGCTCTTTTATCAGTGTGTTTTCATTCTGTAGCATTGTGGCCTAGAAACTATGGTGTTTCTTTGAACAAAACAGTGAATAGGAAAACAGTCTAGAGAAACTTCTTCTCAAAGAGCCTAGTGATTAAAAAAAGAAACATTCAAATTTCTGAATCTAGTTAGAATTGTATCAGGACAATGGAAATCCTTCAAAGTTTTCTGAAGGTCTTCCAGCAAAGCATACGCACATTGCAGTATAAACGTAAGTTAAATAAAATACCGAGCTTAAAAACAGTGAAGCATTTTTTGCACCAAAAATTCATCTCAAAATATGACAAAAAATAATGTTTTTTTTTCTTTTTAAGACTTAGACTCCTATAATGCTTTTGAAAAGAATTTAGCATGTGTTCTCATGAAGTTTTTGTTTCAAGTTGTAGTTATACTGCTGTTAGCCAAATCACAGCAAAGAAAGGAATAAGTACACACATATGACTCTAGCCCCCATACACTAAAAACAAAGAAACAAACAAAAAAAACCCCAAACTTTTATGAACTCAAAATCCTTAAAAATTTAAAAGTGATATATTTACATACTAGGAAGTCTCACAGATTATACTACGCCTAACATTTAGTAGGTGCTCACATACATTTTAAAATAAATGTTTAACAAGAAAGCCCCCAAATGGCTATACTGTCAAGGAGAAAGACAGAGGGTATCATGTTATGGAAAATATTATTTTATGGAAGATTGATGCAAAGTATACAGTTTAAACTGATTATTATATCAATTAGAATGGATATACCTCATTTAATATGAGAAGTCTAAATTACCTACAAGACAGATTTTGATTTTAAGTGTATCCTGTCTGTTTAGAATTGATAATGAACAAAGCCTTCCAGAACGAGCATAAAGAGTTTCAACCCTACCACTGACCACAAGGCAACCATAAGGTATGCAAAAGTCAAAGAAAATACATACGCTAACTGCTAAGACACAGTTGGACCAAAGCGGTCTTGAAAAGAATCCAACTATAAAAATGCGAATGTGATTAAAAATCAAAATAAAACTAAGAGAATCTAAGAATAGCTAAAAGCTATTCTATTAACTCCACCATACAGATTGAGGGTAACATCCAAACATCATGCATATTCTATTATTGTAATGTGTCTTTATCTTTTAACTCAAGAGATAGAATATTCTGTGATGTGTTTGCCTATAGCCAACAATAAAAATACAGTCACGTATACCTGTGAGGAATCTGGATGTATAAATTAAAGGGTACAGGAAAATATAGGCAATCCCCCATACATATGGTGATAGGTAAGAACACACCTTAGGGTTTTTTCCCATGTCTCATTTTTATGAGGCTTTATATTTGAGATGATTAGTGTCAAAATACACCGATGGAATATTATTAAAATAATCACAACATTAAATGTATAAACAGTATGAAATATATCTTTAAGAGACATACCCATACTTGAAATTACAAACTAGGTTCCTGTGAAAACAAATCTACCTCCATAGTTTCTCTATAATACTTGTCAACAGTTGTTTCATGAGAACATCGACATCTTTGTAAATTCAAAATGCTGCTTAGGAAAGTGGTTTAGTGCCTGGAAATTCAATTAATCCACCACACTGTCAGCCAGCCACATGTGGCAAAAACACAGTCTGAACTCTTTTAAATTTCCAGCATCTTTACTGCAGAGGACCAGTAAGGTTATTAGAACTGCCTATTTCTCTGTTTTGACTAAGTAGTCAAGATGGAATGGCTTCCTGCACTGCTGAAAGAATCTTTAGCATGAATAAAGAAAAATGATCTGACTGTAGTGGTGGTGGGGGGGCATTAGACTGTGTTGTAAAGGAAGTTCATTGAATCTGTGCATGTAGAACATAATAAAATAAAATAGTACGGGACAGTTCAGTTCCAATTGCAAGGAGATATTTTCCCAAGGTGTCCTCTCGTATTATGCTTTCGTGAATAGACATGACAATGTTACATAATTTCTCTTAACATCGGTTCCCCTCTTTCCCCAAAAGAGTTGATGTGGATAGAGGTTGTTGCTATATCAATGTTTGCAAATGACTCAGAAAATATGAGTGGGGAATATTTAGTCAATCAGGTCATCTGATTGCCTAATCATCCTTGGGTGAACTGAAAAACAAATGACAATATTGATTAAATCTAGCTGATGGAAGAAAAGGATCCAAATCACCACTTAATCCAATCTATTGTGAAAACGGCCAACGTCAGATTTCCGTATCTACAAGCGTGTTACTTATATAATTGTTTAGCTATGTAGCTGAACATGATGACAGATATTTCACTGCTTTCAGAGGAAACTGGGCAGGGCCTCGATTTTAATCAAGGGGAGAGCAGACACTTATACAACGCAGTACCGTAACTGGATATATTAGAGGTTCAGCTGGGCGAAGAGCTGTGAAACATAGTGAAACACTTCGGGTCAGAGTCCAAAAGTTTGGAATTAAGCCCTGACCCACAGATTATCAGCTGAGTGACCTTGGTTAGTCAAGTCGTCTCTAAAAATACGCATTTTCTTAATTTAAAAATTAAAAATAGTAATACCTGCCTCCTTTCTCACAGTAATGCTGAAGAAATATATAACGCGTGTATGAAAGTGCTTTCAAATCTTTCAGCTATGATGTTCAATGTAAGGCATTATAAATTAGGCACTGTGGAACTGGATTTACTCTTTCAGACCCCGAGGGGAAGGAGAATTCAATCCAGCAATTGGAGCATGGGCGGTGGTCTGGAGGTCTCAGGACATCGATACCTCATTCGAGGGTCTTCATAATACTGTAATAATTAATAGCTAAGAGCATATTACAGTTTATAAAACACAACCAATATCTGTAATTTCATTTATTATTAATTTATTCCTAAAAATAAAGGCACTTAATCAGGTACAATATGATATAAAAAACTGAGTGTTTCAAAATAAATATAAATAGATTGTTGGAAACAGAAACTATGAGCCCACGAGACTGACAAAATACAAATGACATGAGTACCTGACACAGTGCTTGGCACATACCATGAAACTAAGAAATATCTGTCGAGCTAACTGAGTAAAAAGGTCATATATCTTCATGAAATAAGAATTCAACGAGAAGTTTAAAAATGCAGATGGACGTCCATGACATATCCAACTATGCTCCCTGAGAGGGAAACAACAAAAATAAGATATTTTTATCCAACAGAACACAAGTGATTGCCTACAACCCGATTACATCTAGTACCACAGACCTGACGGTGCCTTCAAGCCATCATTTCTAAATTAAACCACACAGAATTCATTGTGCTGAGGGTCACTCGGATGGTCTGAAAGGGCGTGTTCAACCACAAGTGTTAATTTATAATGCCTCGTTTTAATGCAGGACTTTACATTTCTCAAAGCATTTTCTCATATGCTTCCCATATGCTGGTTAAAACCACGCTGCAAGGTTGAGAAGATGACCTTACAACTCATGCACACACACAACTGTACTCTCTTTTTTAGAAGGCTGTGTGTGGTGAGCTTATGCTGGTTTGCCCCAGCCACTTCTACATCTGGTCCTTGATCACATTTTCTCAGAAGTTTAACCAGGTCTGGGAAACAGAAGTTCCACTAACATCATCCAGTTACTGGGTTCAACAGACCCATCATCAGCAAAAAAAGCCCATGCTCTCCCCTGGGGAGAGCTCTAATAACTAAGTATTTGCTTAAAACTAGCAGGCAATATTTTACTACTTTGCACATGAAGATTCATTAGTCATAGTACTCCTCTGGTTTAAAAAACCTGTACTAAGATCACATAGACATTGTTTTTATTTTAAAAGAATTTTGAAAAAGCTAACCATTGAAAACTGCTTGGAACACAATTATATGATTCCTTATTTTAAAAAGTATCTACATGAAATAGTGAGGCAATGTTAGCTGCTAAGACTCTAATACACACCCACCCACCCACCCATACACACACTTCTTTCAATGAAGTTAACATTCCAAGAAGTTTTGAAATACCATCTAAATTTTTAAAGGACATAAACTGGGAGAGCATCCCACAGTTTCAACCTACCTTTTGTGGCCACTCGGACACAGTCTATTTTGGTTTCCTGTGTCAAATAAAGAGGGGAAAAAAAATCACTATTCATGTTTTATTTAAAACAAATAAAACTATCTGTCATTCTATGTAAATGCCAATAAGGAATGATCTCATTGTTCTGAGTGTGGTGTTAATCACATGATGATTACTTCTGGAACCCCGCTAAGATACATGTTCACAAGATGATTACTACTTGAACCACGCTCAGATACATTTTCCAGCTCCAGAGCTGGCGGCCATGGGAATTTCTGGAGCGGATGATGAATGAGGAGCTACTCCCAAAATGTTTCTGCCTAGTGGCCCTGGCTTCTTCAGATCCTTGCTTGCTCTCTGGGCAGATACTACTGGAGGAGAACTCAGGGTCCTAGATTCCCCCCCTTTTCACTGGCAAAAGTCAAGTCAGTGATGATACTTAAACTCATACTGTGAAGGAGGGTGGTATCTGGAAAACTCACACTTCTTTTTAAGGCGACTTATATCTTATATCTTACCAGAGTTCTGGGTTGGCCTGAACAGGAAAGGGAAAAAAATTCAGAAATGACTCCATAGTTTTTTGGTTTTTTTTTTAAAGATTTTATTTATTTATTTGAGAGAGAGAGAATGAGAGACAGAGAGCACGAGAGGGAAGAGGATCAGAGGGAGAAGTAGACCCCCTGCCGAGCAGGGAGCCCAATGTGGGACTCGATCCCGGGACTCCAGGATCATGACCTGAGCTGAAGGCAGTCGCCCAACCAACTGAGCCACCCAGGCGCCCCATGACTCCATAGTTTTTATTTTGTTTTCATCTTATCTTTCTAAAGCTGTTTTCTCTTAGGAAAAAAAAAGACACCTAATTTAGTCACAGCTATAGGAAGTATAAACTCTCGTGAAACCAAAGAAATGGGATAGAATATGCTGAAAAGACATATGTTGTGTATCTCACAAAATTTTAAATGAGCTGAATGTATGTGTTGTAGCTATACTATTTTCCTGTAAAATAGTAAGCTAAGCAGAATTGCTAGCCAACTTTTGATAGCAGGTAAAAACTGAAAATAAAAACCATCGTGTTGACAATACATTCTTCCTACCAACACAAATACAAATATATTCATTTCTTTCCATAAATTTCTCTAGGTGAAAATAAGTTTAGAAAGAGAAAGAAAACCCCCATTTGTTCCAAGTTAAAACACACAAAAACATGCCTTTATTTTTTCTTATGACTATCTTCTTTAATCTATGTTCACATTAATAACTCTAGATAGCCTAAGTAAATAGCCATCTATAAAACTTACCCCATTGGCTCTACTAGCAGCTTGGAAATAAATTCTGTAGCTTTTATGGGGGAGAAGGGGAGTGTTCCAGTATCCATTGTATGTCTTATTATCACCAATAGTAAAAGGCTGAGCAGCTTGGAGACTGTTCGCTGGGAATTCTGCAGCAAAGTAGTACTGTGAGTTCAATATTGACGCATTCTGGAAGTGAATTGGCACAGGGTAGCACTTCAAGATTTCTGTTGTCTTTTTAGTTCTTCGAGGACGTTCTTCCTCAACAACTACTTGATAGACGCTAGGGGAAAAAGAAGCACTATCAGTGATATTTTATGATAATTGAGCTGATTCCCTTTGCCTTTAATTGGGGCCCACCGGATATTCAAAATAAAGAATGCACTGGATATAGTCAATAATAAGTGCCTAGTATATAATGGATACTCACTCAACATTTCAACACTTGCTCAATGTAAGAGCGGGAAGGAGCTTAATATTCTCCCATAGAACTCTCTCACCTCTGATAATACAACGTATTGAGGGAAACAAAGTTCACGAAAATTAAAAAAAAAAATTATATAACAATCTCTGCTGTTTATGTGAGCAGGACACTAAAATAATGTTTTTCTCACATGTAACTCAATTTACCTAATAAGTGAAATTATATTCACTGTAAGTTTATTTTTTAAAAAAAGGCAAAGTATTATTTTCTTCAATCACAGCTGTATGAATGCACGTGAAGTTTTAACAAGTCACAAAACACAATACGTAATTCATGTTTAAGTAAAGTTTAACTTCCCATATTTTCTTATATTCTTTTGCCCTTCACCATATCAGATCAATGGAAAGAGATGATGTAAGGAGAGCAAAGAGACTGGAATTTCAAAAGCCTTGGAGTTACAAGCAGTTTCTAAGAGTAGGTCATGAACCAGGTTTTTGAATTATATATAAAGATAAGATGGGGATGAGCATGCTCCGAAGATGCCTGCAAGGATAGGTGTCCCAGCACCTACCCCCCTTCCTCCCCGCCCCCTTCCAATGTCTGAATTTCAAAGTAGCCATAGGAGAATGGGACAAATCTTGAAGGGATGGATGTTTCTATTAAGATATATATTTTACCAGAATGATGAACATTTGTGCAGTTTTGGTGAAAATAAGTTTCTGATACTGAGCAAAACTAACACTTGACAGCAGCTTTCAAGAACTGAATCAGAATAGATTGATCCTGGCAAGGAAATGTAACTTGTTCTCACTGTATCAGAAAAGCACCACGACTCCCTGGAACAATGCTGCAATCCTAGAGTTGCTCATACGGGTCCTCATTATTGCCCAAGAAGAGCAGGAGAGAGGTGCCTAACAACCCCACCTGCCTGGGGAGGGCCTGGAGGGGTCCCTCTTTGGGTGTTGCCCTTGTGAACTCCGAATATGCACTCAGTGAAATCACCTATTTCTGGGAGTACAACTACTTAACACATTCCATTACAGGAATGCAATGTAGCAGCTGCAGTTCAGTTTGTAATTCTGTCCAAATAAAAATCAACTGTTGTAGAACATCAGAATGACTGCTAGACAGGTAGTACAATAGGATTACAGTACAATGATAAAGCAAATTCTGAGTGTGATGTAAACTTAAATAAAAACCAGAAATACTTCCTAACCTCTTAACATTAGAGATTTTCTATTGATTATGTAAAACACTCCGCCAAATCTGGTAGAATTCTCACTGTGTGATGGATCTGACATGAAAGGAAGAATCATCCTCTATGGAGGACAAGGAACACATATGGAGGTAAAGTGGACTTTGATTTCTCACCCCCTTCTCCCTGACTTCCTACATATATGGTTAGATGTGGTGATTTTAAAATATATCTGCAACTTCTTACATGTAGCCCATCAAGAATGGGGTTGACCAATCTTAATGACAACATACAACCAAAAGAATGTAACAGTGGGACAATGGGTAACTCTCAAGGCATTGGTCAGAGGAGGTCATGCCATCTTCAGCCTGGTTCCCCAGGGAAGATAGTTTTCTGGAAGAAAAAGCCAGACACCATGTATATGGTCCAATCACCCTGAACCTGCCACAGTGGAGAGGCCACATGCAGGCACTCTGCTCTGCAGTCCCAAAGAGCTCCCAGCCAACAACTGGCATCACTGATGCCCATGTGTGTGGACCATTGTGGAAGGCCACATGGCTGAACATCACATGATGACAGCCCCAAGACCCCAAGCAGGAACTGTGCAGACAAGCCTTTGCTGGCCCACAAAATCATAGCAAAATAGAAATGTTATTTTCAACTGCTGAGTACATTTGCCCAGAGAGCAAATCTAAAGATTTATTTATTTATTTGAAAGAGCGAACAAGCATGAGTGGGGGGAGGGGGGGAAGAGAATCTTCAAGCAGACTCCCAGGTGAGCGTGGAGCCAGACATGTGGCTTGATCTCACGACCTGAGATCATTAAAGTTTAATTTATGCAAGATCATGACCTGAGCCGAAACCAAGAGTCAGATGCTTAACTGAGTCACCAAGGGCCTCTCAAAATTTCACTTTAAAAACAACTCTGTAAAACTCATATACTACACAAAGTGGAAATGTGAAGATACATATGAAGAAAAAATTTGCAGAAATTATTCCATACAGGAAGTGCTAGGCTGGGAGACTTGCACAGGTCAGCTTTATTTTCCTTTACATATCAGTAAAATATTACTGGTGTGAAAACTGGGGTTCAGAGGTGAAGTGCCTTTTCCATCTGGGGCTCACAGGTGATGAAGTAGCAGACGTGGTCTCATGACCATCAGACAAGGCAGTACTAGCATCACCTGTAAAAGCCCTGGTTAAGGGGCTCATGTGAACTGTCTGCCCCAGGGGCATCTTCCCCTCTTATGCAGACACAACTGACACACAAACTGGTCCCCACCTACTTCCCAGAATCAACTGACTTTGAGTATTGTATATTCTTTCTCATTTATCACATAAACAGAGCTATAAATGGTAATTTCACCTTTGACCTCAACTCACTCTCCCATCTCTTGCTGAGTCATTAATAATTTCCAGGGAGGATGCTCCTGGATCTGCAGTTGAGGCCAGCACCTGGCTGGTGTCCTCTCCAGCTCTTGATCCCAACCAGCAACTCTGTCACCAATGGCACCAAGGACAGTAATCACTCACTTTTCATTTCCAACTCCTCTAGATGAAAGACTAGCACAACCACTTCCAGACTGTCCAAGTGCCACCATCTTGAATTCTCCTATCACAAACACCTTGTCCTCTATTCCTCTACCTTGGCCTGGACCCAAGTTTGTTCTTGAAATGCTGTTTTCCCCAACACACAGAAATCATTCGCCACTCTCAGCAGATGACCCTAAGTCATAAAAAGATTGAGACCCTCTCATGAACCTTTTCTCAGGGGCTTATGATCTGCTCCCCCATTTTGATGTACTCTTGCTTTGCTCCACACTCACAAAAATATGTTTCTTGTAAAGACTACTAATCATTTGTGTCTATTTATCAATATTTTCAAAAACCTCACAAGTTCCTGGAGGAACAGGTCTGTGATTTAGTCATCTCTATCTCAGCACACTCTGAAGTGGACGATGAGGCACATATTTTTGAAAGCATAATATAATCCACAAGTAATTTCTATTTTATATACATTATATGTAGTGGTAGGGAAGAAATACACTGGTAATCACAAATATGCCCTGCTTTACTAAAATTTAATACTAAGTTTATTTTGTATTCATTTCTTGAATACCCAAGTGCAAAGAGAAGAAGAAATTATCAAGAAACAGGTTTCATGGAGTGCCTGGGTGGCTCAGTCGTTAAGCATCTGCCTTTGGCTCAGGTCATGATCTCAGGGCCCTGGGATCAAGCCCCGCGTCAGGCTCCCTGCTCCGTGGGAAGCCTGCTTCTCCCTCTCCCACACCCCCTGCTTGTGTTCCCTCTCTCGCTGTGTCTCTCTCTGTCAAATAAATAAATAAAATCTTAAAAAAAAACAAAAAACAGGTTTCATGATGAGAGGATGCTGGTTAGATTGTAAGTTTATGCAAGAAAACCCACGATTAAATAATGAGCCCTGAGAGAATCAAACACTGACTCCTCTGTTTTTCTATCCCCTCTCACACCTTCATCTCTTACTTCCCATTCATCTTTTCCCCAACTTTGCTAGTATGTGTGCTGTGCTGTGTGTATATATACTCATTTATTAACTTAAGAAATGTTTTTGAACACCTGCTACGTACCAGGCACTGCCCTATTTTAACTTGAACAATATGATATTTGACATTTCCTAATGAAAGAAAATTTTGTTTTGTGACTTAAATGCCATCTATGTGAATATGGGCGGAAGAAATTAATTTTTCCAAGCAGGAATTTTGTGAGGATTAGATGAAAACTTGAGAATTAAATGATCATTTAATGGGTCCCCACTGCAGCCAGCTGATATGTTATACACTCTGCTCCACTCCACAGATATATTACTTTTTAAATGGCTACCATCTACCCATCTTCAGATATATTAAAGGAAGAACTAAGTTGACTAGAGCAATTTCAGACCTAAAATGTCTTTTCATCCTTGCTCCACAAGAGAAATTAGATTTGCAAGCATCCAGACCTCAAATCTATTTGCTCTTTAATAATTTAAGCACTGAAAGGTCAAGCAGCTCTTTTCTATTCCCCTTTATCAACGTCCAAGCACTAACGAAAAATAGCTAAATCCTATCTGCTGCCCAATTGCCACACATTGCTGTCTTCCTGATGGAAATTAACACATTATTGGCACCTAGGTCAATGGCACCTCAACAGAACTCTCTGATATGTTTTTCACTGGTGCAAATAACATTATTTCACTAGTGAATTTCATAAAATCTGTCCAACCACAATTGCAATCTCAAAAAGTAGCTTTGAAAATCTTTCTCTCTGAATGGTTTTTCTAAGAAGATGATTAAAAAGAGCAAGTTCTCGAGGATGGAAAACCAAGCAGAAGTTTCTAGCTTAGTGAGCTGAATTAAAATTCTATTATCCTTTTAATGTATTACTCATGCTCCCTTTGTTTATTAAAATTACACCATCCCTATCCTGATTCCTCCACTATTCCGGAATTTAAAGTAACATAAAATCTTCCTATGGTATTTGCAATATGAAGGCACAATCCATAGTGAAGATGAATCTGCCAAAAATGTGACATCACTATACCATAACTTTCTTATGGAATGAAATTTAATTTAAAGTTTAATTTATGCAAGGCTTTCCTACAACAAAACTCTAAGGCTTTTACAAGGAGGATAAGAAATCTGCATTT